TTTAAATGAGTAAACACAATGCTCACACTTTAAACAAACAGGCTGCAGCAGCTTCCCATTAAACAGAGATCAGCACAGAAAAACAGCAGAACAAGAGCAATGGGGTGATGCCTTAGCTCATGAGTAATGCATGACAACACCAGATAATAAATTAAGAGATTAAGATCTCGAATTCTGGGGCAGATCACAATTAAAACAAAAAACTATACAAGTTACTTTGGATGGCAGTCCATTAGTTTTACCACCTGAACACTGCAGAGATACTACTAATTATTTTTCTAAAATCTTTTTGAATGAGAAGCACATTGAAAGAACAGGAATTTACAGAAGCTGATTTAATATGCTAAAATTCAATCTGACAGTTTGTTCAGTGATATTAGAATGGCAAAGAGAAGAGAACACACTGAAGATCTTGGGATTCTCTTTGAACATACAAATTCTGAACAGCATGATCTCTTGTTTTGTCCTATGGAAAGTTATCTGTCTGTCATCAAAAGCCACATTCTTGAACACAAAAGAAAGGTAGGGACCATTTGAGGCACAGAATCATCTTGTTGCTTCTTTGTACAATAATTGTAGAGAAAACTGACAGGAAGTAGGATATATGGGATGGCACTTTCACAATTGTTGTTACCTGCTTTCGAGGAGACTCCAACTTGTGGCAGTTATATCCTAGGGTCTACTTGTCAAGATTTATTCAGAGATTTGCCACTCCCTTCTGAGACTGAGAGAGTGTGACTTGCCCTTGTTCACCCAATGGGCTTACATGGGTGAGGAGAAATTTAAACTCTGGTTTCCAGGAGTCCCAGTCTAATATTCAGATTATGACATGGTGCTGGTAATCTTGGGCATCTACTTCCTGCTTCTATGTTCTTTTTAAAAATAGAGGCATACAAAAAGATGCTATCTTGGTTGAAAAAAAATTATCTCCCAAATTATTTATTTAAAAGTGGGTGCATATTTATTCCTCCCAACAAAAAGAAAACTAAGCCAATCATAAATTTTATATTTCCAACAGGAACATTCAAATCCAAGTGCTTTTCCTAAACAGATCTGTCTTTTTTTCCCGTTGAAGGAGTGATGATTACATCTCCTCCTCCATCCTTCCAGCAGTTTTGATTTGGCTAACAGTGCACCATAATCTATTCCTCCTCAGAATTAAATACTGCTGTGTTCAAGAGTACTTCTTCTCAGCAAAGTGTGTACAGAATTCAAGTAGCATTCATTTGAAAATGATTTAGAACAATAATCAAAGAACTAAAATGGAAATTGGATATATCCCATTAAAATGCAGATTAAAAGATCAAACATAAGCAAATAGTGGTCTCTATCAACCTCAAAATCTTGCCCAAAGTGTAAAGCATTACAGTACTATAGTTCAAAGAAATATTATGACTTAGCCTTTATTACGTCACTGTGTGAAGATAGTTCTCATGAAAGAAAGTTCTAGAAAGGACTCTAACTGGCTCGGTGCTCATTGTCTTTGCTTACTAACATTTTAAATTTGCTTGCTTTTGTGTTACATTTCAATACAGATAGCACAATTTAGTTTTTTTTTAAAAAAAACTGGTTATTTCCATTGTTATTTGTATTTGGGGAGGAAGGACGACTATAAACAAAAGAAATAAATGTATACCAGTATGTTATAGAGCTTCCAGCAAGTAGTACTTGATGTACTACACATTGTACATGCCAGGAAACAATATCTCACGAAACGAGTTCAGATTTGCATTACTGAGTCCCTGAGATTGAAGTATATTTCTCTTAATTCAGTGCCAAACCTGTGGGCAAAGATATGCAGTGACTGAGAGGCGGGGACAGAAAATCACCTCACCAACTGTACTGTAAATACAGCCTTTTCATTAAATGGTGTTAACAAATAATTACTAGCCTCTGCTCTGTTATTTTGAGCATTTGCTCTCCTAATCTCTTTATCCATCATTTCTGAGTACAATTTAGATTTGTAACTCTCTGCTAAACCCTGCTGATTCTTAAGTAACATAAAGAAATGTACAGTGTGACCTCCCCTTGCCCCCCCCCCACACATTCACCTTTGAGCTGAGGTGTAAACTTCCACATGTAGTCTTGAATCCTGTTATAATTTCACAACCAATACATTGTGTTGGCACAGAATCAACCTGCGCTCATTTGTTCCTCATCTCCGATCCTGTACAGTTGGTGAGGTGATTATTCTGTCCCCTCCTCTCAGTCAGTACATATCTTTGTCCATAGATTTGACACACCTATATCTACATAGCATCAGGCTGCTAACTTATTTCTTACTGAATTAAGAGAAAGGTACATAGATCTCAGGAACAAATTCCAACTGGTTTTTTGAGATATGATTATTGATTATTTTGAGATATGATTATTGTTTTCCTGACATATACAAAGTACAGATTGTGTATTAGTTGCTGGAACCGCCATAATATCTACATTGCAAGAAATCAGATTCTGTCCTCTCTGTCTTCTCTTCGGAAAGTAGAATAAGTTACTTTACTGAATGAACCACAACGTTTAGGCTTGGCTAACCAGTATGACTGGTGAAACTGCCCATGCTGGATGTTGGATTCTGCCCATGTTGGAATTAGACATAAAAGGAGTACAGTACTTTACCTTATTGGACTATAACACTAAGGCTGGATCTACACTGCCATACAATCCAGTTTAATACAGTTAATCTGCATTATAAGGCAGTGCAGATCCAGCCTTAGAATTCAGGTAACCCATGCAGCTGGATATATGCAGTTGCCCATACATCCTTAATTTAAAAAAAAAAAGATATTTAGATCTCACAGGAAAAGGTGCTAGGCCTGTGAGTCTTCCCAATAGACCCCAAATGCTTCTGAGGGTGTGTACAGAACCACAGAGTTGGGAGAGGCCACAGGGGCCATCCAGTCCAAAGCACTCTTGAGAAATGGATCTCCAGCCTGTGTTTAAAGACCATAAGAGAAAGAGACTCTGCCACACTACAAAGCAAGTTGCAACCTTTCAGATGTTTAAATGTGGCTATCTCATCTAAATATCTCAGCCTTCTTTTCTCCAAGTTAAACATACACAACTTCCGCTGTTCTTCATAGGCAGAGTGATTCTGGACCACTTGCAGGAATTCTGAAGGAAAGGGCCACTGCTTAAACAACAGACATTTCCCCACTTCCCCAAGCCCCTTGAGCATGTGCAGAGTGATTCTAGGCCACAAACGAGATTGGAAGGCAAGGGGTCTCTGTCTGAGAAGTCCTGCATAAACCCCAGAACTTCCCCCACTTCCTCAAGCCCTCTGAGCATGTGTAGAATGATTCTAGACAGTGCAGGGATTATGAAGGCAAGGGCTCTTGCCTTGTATAAACCCCAGGCCCTCTCTCACTTCACTTAAGTCCCCTTGCGATTCTGGACTGGTGCAGGGATTTGGAAGGCAAGGGGTCTCTACCTGCAAAGTCCTGCATAAACCCCCAGGACCCTCCCCACTCCCTGAAGGCCCTTGAGCATGGGTAGAGTGATTCTAGACCAGTGCAGGGATTCGGAAGGCATGGGGTCTCTGCCTGAGAAGTCCTGCATAAACCCCAGACCCTCCCCATTCCCCTACAGGCCCCTGAGCATGGACAGAGTGATTCTGGACCAGTGCAGGGATTATGAAGGCAAGACATCTTGCCTTGTATAAACTCAAAATGCTCTCCCACTTTCCTCAAGTCCCCTGAGTCTGCACAGAGCGATTCTGGACGAGTGCAAGGGGTCTCTGCCTGAGAAGTCCTGCATAAACCCCAGACCCTCCCCCACTCCCTAAAGGTCCCTGAGCACATGCAGAGTGATTCTAGACAAGTACAGGGATAATGAAGGCAATTGCCCTTTGCCTATGAGGGTCTGCATAAACCCCATAAAATCACAGCAGTGGAGGAGATCACAACAGCCATCCAGTGCAAGGTCCTGAACCCTCTACCACTGCCTCTTGGCTGGGGGTTGGACTGGATGGCCCAGGAGGTCTCTCCCAACTTTATGAATCTATTATTCTATGCCTCAGACTTCCTGAGCACGTGCAGAATGATTCTGGACCAGTGCAGGGATTTGGAAGGCAAGGGGTCCCTACCTGAAAAGTCCTGCATAAAACCCCAAACCCTCCCCACTCCCTAAAGGCCCCTGTGCATGGGCAGAGTGATTCTGGACCAGTGCAGGGATGATGAAAGCAAGGGGTCTCTGCCTGAGAAGTCCTGCATAAACCCAAGGCGCTTCCTTCACGTCCCCTGAGCATGTGTGGTGTGCTTATGGGCCAGTGTAGGGATTATGAAGGCAAGGGGTGTTGCCTTGTATAAACCTCAGACCCTCTCCCACTTCCCTCTACCCCCTGAGCATGTGCAGAGTGATTATGGGTCAGTGCAGGGGTTATGAAGGCAAGGGGTGTTGCCTTGTATAAATCTCAGACCCTCTCCCTCTTCCCTCAATCCCCCTGAGCCTGTGCAGAGTGATTCTGGGCCAGTGGAGGAATTATGAAGGTATGAGTGTTGCCTTGTATAAACCTCAGACCCCCTTTAACAAGAGTGATTTTGGGCCAGTGCAGGGATTATGGAGGCAAGGTGTGTTGCCTTGTATAAATCCATGACCCTCTCCCACTTCCCTTCAATCCCCTGAGCATGTGCAGAATGATTCTGGGCGAGTGTAAGGATTATGAAGGCAAGGGGTGTTGCCTTGTATAAACCCAAGACCCTCTCCTACTTCCCTCAACTCCCTGAGCATGTGCAGAGTGGTTCAGGGATTATGAAGGCAAGGGGTGTTGCCTTGTATACACCTCAGACCCTCTTCAACTTCCCTCAAGCCCCCTGAGCGTGTGCAGAGTGATTCTGGGCCAGTGCAGGGGATATGAAGACAAGGAGTGTTGCCTTGTACAAACCTCAGACCCTCTCCCACTTCCCTCAATCCCCCTGAGCATGTGCAGAGTGATTCTGGGCACGGGCCCCCCTGGAAGCGCAGGCCTGGCTGAGGGGGGGGGGGGGAAGCGAGGGCCTTCTTACCGGGACCTCTGCAGCTCGAAGGCGGCGGCGGCGGGCGCGACGGGCCCGGCTTGCTCGAGGGCGCAGCAGGCGTGGAAGCCCTGCGGCGGGGCGGCGGCGCGGGCGAAGGCGGAGAGGGGCAGGATTCCCTGAGTGAAGGAGCCGAGCCGGCCCCGCGGGGCCCCTCCGACGACGCCGCTGCTGCTGCTGCCCGAGGCCCCCTGCGGGCTGGCGAAGGCGTCTTCCTCGCCTTCCTCCTCCTCGTCCTCCTCCTCCTCGTCGTCGCCTTCCTCGCTCCGGGAGGCCCCGAAGGGACTCATCGCGAACCGGAGGCAGGCTGAGGAGGGGGCGCTGGGAGCCCCGTGATGCTGCTGAGGCGACTGGAAAGCGCCGGAGCCGAGCCGCGTCCTGGTGGCGGAGCCCAGGGGGGCCCTGCTGGCCAACAACACGGAGCCGTCCCCGCTGCCGCCGCCTCCTTCCCCGCCGCCCTCGTCGTCGTCCTGCAGCGCGGGCCGCCCATCCAGGGAGATGTTGGTGAGGAAGGAGAGCGCGGCTTGCCTGCGGCGGGGGTCCATGCGCGGCGGCGGCGGCGGAGGAGGAGCCTTCCTTCTCGGGCAAGAAGCGCCCAGCGTCCCGGGGCTGCTCCCGCTCCCGCTGCTTCTGCTCCCGGGGCTGCTGCGGGGAGCCAAGGCCGGAGGAGCCGCCGCCATTGCCATGGTCCTGAGGAGGAGGAAGGAAGGAATGCGCCGGGAATGCTAAAACCCCGCCTGGAGGCCCCGAAGCGTCGACCGGGCTCGGGGCTCAGGCCACATTGTTCCCCCAAAACTGGCTGCCTTTCCCCTCAGAGCTGGTTGCCTTTCCCCTTCAGAAGGCTTCCCTTTCTCCCTCAGAATTATCTACCTTTCTCCCTCAGAATTATCTACCTTTCCCCCTCAGAACTGTCTCCCTTTCTCCCTCAGAAATGTCTCCCTTTCTCCCTCAGAACTGTTTACCTTTCCCCTCAGAATGGTTTCCCTTCTCCCTCAGAAGAAGTGCCTGCCTTTCCTCCTCAGAACTGTCCACCTTTCCCCTCAGATCTGTCTGCATTTTCTCTCATAACAGCCTGGCTTTTAAACCTCCAAACTATCTACCTTTTCCCCTCAGAACGATTTGCTTTCCCGCCTCAGAATTGTCTCCTTTTTTACCTCCAAACTATCTATCTTTTCCCCTCAGAACTATGTTTTCCCCTCAGAATTGTCTCCTTTCCACCTCAAAACTATCCGCTTTCTCCCCTCAGAATTGCCTCATTCTTCCTCAAAAGTATCTGCCCCCCCCCCTCAGAATTGCCTTTTACCTCAAAGCGACGCTTCCCCCCTCAGAATTTCCTTCTTTTCACCTCAAAACGTTGTTTCCCCCCTCAGAATTGTCTTCTTTTCCCCTCAAAACTATCTGCTTTTTCTCCCTCAGAATTGTCTCCTTTTCCCATCAGAGCTGCCTGCCTTTCCCCCCTCAGAARTGTCTCCTTTTCCATCAAAACTAAGCTTRCCCCCCCTCAGAATTGTCTCCTTTTTTACCTCTCAACTATCTGCTTTCTCCCCCTCAGAATTGTCTCCTTTTTTTACCTCAAAACTATGCTTTCTCCTCTCAGAACTGCCTTCTTTTTACCTTAAAGCTATACTTTCCCCCCTCAGAATTGTCTTTTTTTAACCTCACAACTATCTGCTTTTCCCGCCCCCTCAGAATTGTCTCCTTTTTACCTCAAAACTATGSRCCCCCCCCCAGAATTGCCTCCTTTTTATCTCAAGACTAAGCTTTCCCCCTCAGAATTGTCTCCTTTCCCCCTCAAAACTGTCCGCTTCCCCCCCATCCCCAGAACTGCCTCCTTTTTTACCTCACAACTATGCTTTCCCCCTTCAGATTTGTCTCCCTTTCACCTCAAAACTATCTGCTTTTCCCTCTCAGAATTGTCTCCTTTTTCCCTCAGAGCAGCCTGCCTGCCTTCCTCAGAGCTGCCTGCCTTTTCTCTCCCCCAGAGCTGCTTCTCTGCAGCGCCCTCAGCAATCCCTTCCTCTTCTCCTTCTCCTCCTCTTCCTTCTTCTCCTCCTCCTTCCTTCCCTCCTTCCTTCCTTCCTCTCTCTTTTTTCTTTTTTTCCTCCTCCTCAAGAGGTGCCCTCGCGCCGAGGGGCAGCAGTAGCAGCAGCAGCAGCCACAACAACACCACGGTCACGTGGGAGAAAAAAAACAAAAGCTCCCAAAGCCAGTCAGCAAGAGGAGGAGGAGGAGGAGGAGGAGGAAGGAGAAAGAGGAGGAAGCGGAGGAAGCTTGGTTTTTAAAGAAGCCCGTTCCGCCTTTTTTTTGTCACACACACAAACACGCGCTTCTTCTTCTTCTTCTTTTCCCTCCTTCCTCCTCCTGTGGGTTTCAATGGGAAGGGAGCCGAGGAAGGTGGAGTCTGTGGGGAGCTTCTCCTCACAGCACATGGTTTTCTTGAGGAGGTTATATATGTTTTTAAAAAGGAAAAGAAATACTAGGAGGAGCCTCAGAGGGTTTTTGGATCCCTTCACCACAACAATGTGCTAAGAAAGGGCTCTTCTTTCCACTACTTCCTCTCCTTCCTCTTCTTCTACTTCCTCCTTTTCCTCTCCTTCTTTGCCACACAGATTTTCCTGTTTGTGGTCTCAGGACTCAAGTTCAGCTCAAGTTAAGGTTGCACCAAAACAATCCTACAGTTTGGGGTAGTAGTTGATCCCTCTCTCCTATCTAGAACTTGGTGGCTATTCAATTCCTTTTGTTTTGGAGAGTATATAGCTCCACTAAAGGCTTTGCGGGAGAGTGGCAATTGATCTTTAGGGGAGACTGGCGGACTACAGGAAAGGAGATTCCACCTGAACATGAGGAAGAAGTTCCTAATAATAATAATAAAAAACTTTATTTATACCCTGCTACCATCTCCCGAGGGACTTGGTGCGGCCTTAGCCGAGCCCACAATACATCAATGATAAAAGCAAAACAACAATCAATACAGACAATAAAATAAAACTCATAACAAACAATAAACAATAGCAATAACACAACAACGTTTAAAACCTATGGCAGGGCCAAATGTAATAATAAAATTTAAGAATAATTCTGAGCATGAACAGATGAAATATGAACTAGGATAGAGTTTTCAGAGAGGGATGGGGCATGCAGACATTCCTAGGTCAATAGTAAAGTGTATTTCGAGGACGTATTGCTGGCAGTTTCCTTAATCTGGGAAGGCACACTGGAACAACCATGTTTTCAGGCTCCTCCTAAAGACTGCCAGGGTTGGGGAATGCCTGATGTCCTTGGGGAGTGAGTTCCAGAGTCGAGGGGCCACCACCGAGAAAGCCCTCTCCCTTGTCCCGACCAATCGCGCCTGCGATGTAGGTGGGAGCATGAGCAGGGCTTCTCCAGATGATCGAAGGGATCGTGTGGGTTCGTACACAGAGATGTGGTCACGCATCTCTGTGTATGAATTGTGAGAGCTGTTCAGCTGTGGAACTCTCTGCCCCATTTCTGAAGAAATGTGTTTGTTATGTGCATCTAAGTGACTCTGAGTTCTTGTGTGCCTTCAAGTCATTTCTAATATATGGTTACCTTAAGGCAAACCTATCCCACAGTTTTCTGGGGCTGAAATTATGTGACTCACCTAAAGTTACCCAGTGGGCTTCTGTGGCCAAGTGGGGAATCAGAACCTGGTCTTCAGAGTCTTGGTGCTCATCTACACTGACCACTTAGTGACAGTGACACCAGTTTGGAAGAAACTGCAGATGAATAGATTGACATTTCTGGAACAGGTTTGAGACCAGGATGGTAACCGTGGAAGGCAGCCTCAAACTGATTCCATAATGCACAGTAGCGTTTGCTTGACAGTCACCAGAGAATACACCCCCCTCTCTCTCACACACACATTTAAGTTCCACACAAGATGTGTACATGTACATGTGCTCCAGAGCCTTACAAAATGGGGGGGGGGGGGGGAAACAAGCAGAAAGTGACAGTAGTGAAGGTATTCAATTACTTATCCCAAAGGGATGATTGTTCCCTTGCTGCCCAACTATGCCCTTTGGGCATTTTTGTCAGTTCCCTTCTGTTGAGTGCTACAATGCTCACCAGCGAGTTGGGTGTCTACAAGAAGCTTGGCATTCTACAGAGCCGATTTTACCATGCATTGTAGTTTGCATTGCGCCCATGCTGCAGTGCATTCAGGGAATTAGTTTGGACTTACCCTCAACTTTGCTTAATACATTTTAACCTCTTTAACACATGCTGCAACACCCTTTGGTATTGGCGTGCATTGTATAGTCACTGTAGTTTGATATACAGGTAGTCCCCAAGTTACAAACATCTGACTTACAAATGACTCATAGTTGCAGACAGGGCTGGGACAACAGAAAATGAGAGAAATCTACCCATTGGAAGGGGAATTCATTGCTGAAAGAGATATCATGGGGAAAATGTTTCTCCACAGAAGCTTTAGCACAAATCCTTGTTTCTACAACAAGCCATTTTTTTCAAAATTCAGTTATATAAAGAACAGAAAGTTAGGTGAAATCTACTGAACAGAAACCCAGACAGCAAAACAAACACCACAGGGGTGTTAACCTTTCACTATGCCACTCAAAGCTTGCTTGCTTGCTCTTTCTCTCTCTCTCTCTCTCTCTCTGGCTGAAGTTATACTTAAAATTTATTTGTTCTGACTTACATACAAATTCAACTTAAGAACCAACCTACAGAACCTATCTTGTTAGTAACTTGGGGACTGCTTTTATATAAGTTGACACTTCTCATTAATATTCAGAGTAACCTGAATAATCTCAAAATTGGATTGATTTACATAAATCTGTTTCTCTCATCACTTCCATATAATGTGGGATTTAGGCGTCTTCTTCAGTTTATATAAGGAAAAAGTTTTCTAGCCATCTGAAAGAAGGAGTATCTTAGACTTGGCAGAGCTCATGTGGGTATACCTTAATTTCAGTTTCTACCACATTCAATCTTTTAAAACTCACATTCTTTCCAGCTGGAATATTTAAAAAACCAGCAAGTTTTGGCAAATACGAGGGTTATCCAGAAAATAAGGTCACAAGGCACGTAGCTCTCATGGGGAATTTTCACGGGAGAAGTTGGTATCACTGCCGTGTAGCAGGGAACGAGCGGTGCCCGTTGTCAGTAGCGCATCGTCTGGCATAGTGAAGTTTGCTAAATTCTAAGGGATGAACACCGCTGCAATTCATCACAAAATCATTTCAGTTTATGGAGAGGATGCTATGTCAAGACAACATATGACAAAATGGGTATGGAATATATTGTGAGACCATGAAGGAACTTCGCAGAGCCATCCAAAACAAACTTTGTGAGATGCTGATGGTGGGAGTCAGTCTTCTTCATGACAATGTGTATCCGCACGCCTCTCATGCGATACAAGAGTTGTTGGCTTCAATTGGTTGGGATGTTTTAAGCCACTCCTCTCACAGCCCTGATCTCGCACCCTGTGACTATCATCTGTTCACTAAATTGAAGGAACACCTTGGTGGAAAACACTTTTCCAACGATGACAAGGTGAAAATCAAAGTGACAAATTGGCAGAAAAAGGCGGAGGAAAAACTATGACACAGGCATCAAAAACTCGTCCCACTGATGACAAAATGTATTGAACTGAATGATGATGATGTGGAAAAATAATGTAATACCTATTCTACAATCCTTGTAAGTTTTATTAAAATATATTCATTCTTTGTATTTAAAAAAAAATTGTAACATTACTTTCCGGATAACCCTCGTACTTACAAAACTAAGTTAAAATAAGTTGTATTGTCGAAGGCTTTCATGGCCGGAATCACTCAGTTCTTGTGGGTTTTTTCGGGCTATATGGCCATGTTCTAGAGGCATTTCTCCTTAAAATAAGTTGAATATTTCCTAGATCTCGGTAGTAGTAGAGTAATGCATCACATGTGTTAACATGTAGCAAACTATATGGCCTAATGATCTATCTCACAGGAAAGTCTTGACAAATTGTTAGTAGCATGGGGGTATTAGTTTAATGTGTGTCCCTTACCTATAAAACTTGTTGACACATTCTGCTGCGGAATATGTGCAACATATTCCTCAGCAATGATAAATGATGTAATGCCTATTTATTTCCTTAGAATTGATCCACTGGATTGTGAGACAAATTTTGTTTGCACTGAAATGTGTATTTTATACATTGTTTTCAGGCTGTTTGATTTGATGCATCATGTCCAGAGATTTTTTGCTGTAATGTGGGAGAAGAAATATTTTAAGAATTAAATTGGGCTCCTTACAGTACTGCAAAAATACACACACACTTCTCACATTGAAACCAGGCATGTTCAATGCGGTATGAGGGAGGTTGCTGAGCACTCCAGGCAAACTGCCATGTGTGTGGTAACTTAGTGCGCATTTCCAACATTCCTCCCTGCTTCTGTGTAGCCTCCCACATCCTCCAACAGATAGCTTTTTAAAAAAACTATACATTTTAATGGATTAACTTCAATTTTCAAAAGATAATACTGTGCTATTATCATATATTCCAGGTATCTATGATAACAAACATTCAGATATGAAAACACCTATTGAGGTTGCTAAACGAGTTTTGAAGATTAACTGGTCAATACACTGCATTGACTTCCAATCCTATTTTCTATCTATAGTTATGTCAGTACATGAGGGGAAAGAAAGATGCTTAAAAATGTTCTGTGGTTTGTTCTAATAGGTTTTGGCATTGGCACTTTATCTCATCCTTATTCCATCTGCTTAACAATTGCAGCTTGAAACAATTGCCACCATTACCACATTCTCCAGACCCAGTGATCACCAGCTCTTCACTTCTCCAACCTTTTTTTGTTGCCATCACAATTCACTGGTGTACATGTTGATTCAGTTACTTATCAATGTGAAATTGTGGCACCTTATGACTACACAGCTAAATCTTTCCAGTCCAGAGTTTGGAAAATATAACTTTTGAACTACAACCCTCATATAGCATGGGAAGATTCTGAAAGTTGTTTCCAAAGAGTCCATTTCCAAACTCCCCTTTTATTGCAACTTTAAGCCTTTTAATGGTACTATTGTACTCTGTTTTAAATTAAGTCAGTTAATTTGCCATCAAGTTGACTTCAACTTATGGCAACCTTATGAACAAGTGACCTTCAAGATCCTTAATCATAATCTGCCCTGCTCAGGTCTTGCAGACTCAGGCCATCTATGCTTTCCTTGTTTGAGTCAGTCCACTTTTTGTG